CTCTATTAAAACTGAAAATAACGAAATAATCCTGACCATATCGCTATCTTTTTTACCGCCGGTATATTTTGTAAACCTATTTTAGTACTTAAAAATACAAAGTATAAAATTGTGCTACAATGAAACAATAAACATTGCCTGACGTTTCTGCGGAAATTGTAGTGACCAGAACTGCTGAGACAAATTATTATGTACACGCTTCTAAACTGGACTAAATCTCTAAACCACTAATATAACATTATTCATAAATCCGCACGTTTTGCTTGCATTATTCTAATTCCTCTACTGTCCACATCGTTTCATTTCAAATCTTTCTGAATTTTAATTCACTGCTTTTATTTTGGTCTTCTGCTTATTTTATTTGGGCTATGTTATACTAGCGTGGGTTGAACATAATATCGACGGTGTAGAAGGAAAATGACATTCCTAAAAAACTGCATTTTGCAGGAAAACCATTTCATTCTGCACGAAACTTATTTTTCGGATGTGCACAAAATGTATATATACTTAACATGAAAAAAATATATAAATATACTGTTTTCTGAACATGACTATTACTTAACTAAAATGGGATTTTGAAATATGACTCTTCACTTCAGCAGCGAAGGTATTTCGTTTATTTTCCCCTTGATTGTTCTCTTTCACCTGAAGGCGTTGCTTGACAGTTTTTGTGAGCCTTTCAAAGTCCATATCGTAGTTCAGCACCGCTTTGTCCACGTAGCGCAGGCCTCGCTGCAACGTCAATTCGGCGCCGGGGAACTGCGATGGCCCGCGGACAGCCGGGGGGGGGGGCGTGCAAAAGATTTACTCTCCAATTACAAACCGCGGCACATTAAAGGCATCCCAGTATTAAACTTTGAATTTACATTAACTACATTACGCTTGATGTTTATTAATACCGAGATGAACATAAATATGTATGGCCCACACTAGGGTGGCAGCTGGTGGCATGTGGAGCGGCGTGGCTTTTCGCTGCTATAGCCCGGTTGTGACCAATTGACGCCGCTTCCAACCGGCAGTAAAGAAAGTGGAAGCAAATTCGCAAAGAAATGTTCTGTTTAGAATTTTGAGTAACCTATCAAATTAAACAAGAAATTGTGATTAAAGGATAATTCAGATAGAAAATTATTTTCTTAAATTTGAATTTTAAAAAATAAGATGAAAATGTTGAAGTATTTCGATTTTTAAATTCTACCTGGTAAAAAATGAAAATAATTTCCGTTAGTAATTTCATTAATAAACTCTTATAAATAATTTTAATGCAAAATTTAAGATTTGAGACAGAAAAGTTCCTTTATTGTTTCTGGCATAGTTACTGAAATAGATATATTCACTCTGGTTGTCTTGTCAGTGAGAAGAAAACATTCTAGCGAATTATATTTTCTAGATCATCTCTTCTTACTTGTTTGTTTTATTACTGTTAGCTATAATTATTTTCATTGGAGAAAGTATTCGATTTTTTTCGTATTTTGATATTTTATTTTACTAGTTATATATGTTATATTTATCCTTTTTTGTTATTTCCCACTTCGTACCTTCAAATTCGTAGAGAGAAGATGGGGCCTACTTATTCTTAGAAAATTTTCCTCCCTTAAGACCTAAACGCTTTATTCAAGGAAAGAGTATAATATCAAAAGTTTTGCTCATAAATGGTTAACCCCTACAGAGAACTATTTTGACCAAAAATTTTATTCAGATTTGCAAGTGCGGACCGGAAGAATGTTTGTATTCCACACACGTAATTCGTTTTCCGCATACAGTGTAACAATGCACATGGTTTAATGCAAGACTTAATTGTATTGCATCATATTAAGTTAATTTCAAAAAATCTACACGAACATGTCTTAGTAGTTTTAACTCGCATACACAGTTTGTTTTGAAACCGTCTATATCTCACTACCTTCCGTTTATTTGAAGAGCTTTAGTATTTCGTGTTTCTAGGCGTGTCAGCTACGTTGGTCAATATTTCCATGATTGTAGTACGTACTATAGCAGTGAAGTGTCTGTGCTCCTCCCATGAAGAAATGCGCAATTCTCCATCTAGCTATACGTCAGCTGGTGGGGATTTTACTCTCCATGTGTCTTTGCCAGCGGGGCCTTGCACCAATCACGACAAACTTTACACTCCCAACTGGTCTCCTAACATGTGTGGTAGAGTGTGTGTGTGTGTGTGTGTGTGTGTGTGTGTATGTATGTATGTAGAAGGAAGAAAGGGAACAAAGGCGAGAAAAAATCGAAGCGTTTATTAGGATACTGCTCCGGCATTCGCCTGGTATAGGTAAAACATCGACCACACACTACGGCTGAAACCGTTGTAGCCATTTAACTAGTGTAAAAAATTCGCGACCGTCAGAACTCGATCTCTAGGGCATCAGAGATGCTGCAGCGGGAGCAGATGTAGTCACTGAACTATCTCAGGTGGAACCCTCCGAGTATCCGAGTTGACGACCCCAGTCTCTTAGAAATTTTACGGAAATTTATTAAAAACCTGAGTGGATTTAATTGTGTCTCAATGAATTTTTTATTCGAAGATTTTTTATCTTATTTCATTTTTATAATGTTTTTACATGCCTTACATTATGTAATGATTCCTAAAAAATGTATCTGAGGTCCTTGAGAGTTCCCCATGGTGTTTACTGTAACTTTTTTTGAAATAAAATGCTTCGTTTTGTTTTCTAATAATGCGTTTCTTACACGTGTACACACAATTTGATCTTTTACTTCCCTACGAACAGCTGCCAACTAAAAGTATTTTTAAGTTTCAGCCAGAAAAAAATTGTCAGAACGTGCAATTGGATATGGGATCGTGAAATAACCCCCATGGTATTTTACTTTCCAGCAAAACGTGGTTCTCGGAAGTTTAAATTATTTCCAGCTGCCGCCATGACCCACCCGAGGTTTCAAGACACCCGCGTGCGAATATAGATGGCCGCCACGAGGTGAGCCTGTGGAGCGGGGCGAGAGGCGCCCGCCCCCGCACGGTGAAAAGGGCGCGCGGTCGTGGTGAATGCGTGGGCGGGCGCGGGCGTGGGCGCGAGCACGGGGCTCGCAGTGACATGCGATGTCGAGTGAGCGAAAATGGAAGCGCAATTCCAAAACCCTTCCCCAGCCGGCGAAAGAGAGGAGTCGGAGCGCCAGAACCACGAATAACGAACCGGTGAGAGCTAGAGACCGACAAAACTGGCAAATTGGTGGAATGTAGGGTTTCGATACCCAAGAATTTGAAAATACGCTCCGAAAAGTAACTCAATTGGGGCGCGTTTGACCCTGCTCATTAACTTCAAAATTATTCGTCATTGTTGCATTTTCATGAGGTTCGTGAACATGTTGGTCCTGCTTGTATAGAGTAGCGTTGATAAGTGAACTTCACGGGAGAAAATGTTTGGTTCTCATTTGTGATTGTAAATCAGTCCGCGTTATAGAGGCGTTTAGTATTGGTCATTTTGTGTGGATATGTAACGATTTCATGCACAAATATGAACGTAATATTTTACTGATATTTAGTAATTTCTCGTTTTGTGGCCAGAAATGTACTTCGTTTTGGCGGGAAACTCTCAATTATTTTATAGTTCTTTTATTAAAATGTATGCGCTTTTATCATAGGAGCATGTAAAAGGATATCCGAGAACCAATTTTTGTAGCAGCTTTTTCACATACTGCAATGTATTCGTAGAGTTGAAACCACATAATCTGCTCTTCACCTCTTAGGCATGAAGTCAAAATCATTCTTTGTAAAATGTGTAATAGAGAAAGCAAAAAATACAATCGGCTAGTCTTCGGAAAGTGTTTTTTTCTCTCATTTCGATTAACAACATATCTAGTTTTTAACTTCAATAATTCACATATCACGGTATCTACACTTTCACTATTTTAATTGCTGTATCAATAAAAGAAATTTGATTTTAACGAGAACATTAATAGTGTGGGGTTGGAATGAGAAAATGGTGGACTGTTGTACTCGTAGACCGTTACAGTTGGTCCTGAGTTCAGAGAAAAACCTATTTTGAGGTTGGAGTGTCTTTTTGTCAAACGGATGAAGTGAAAGGATTTCGCCACGTTTCTTAATCTACATTCATCTGTTTCATGAATATGATCTGCAAAGTAAAAAGTATCATTTTACATGTCTACAGTGAGAATCCCTTTACCCTTATTTCAATCCTTAAGTCATACTCTCTAATTTTTTTTTATTTTCAATGTGAGATATAACAATATTTTATTGCAATATTTACGGTTTAATTAAGTGAACCGAATGATGTATTGTTCTCAATCATACAAAGTGAAGCGTAAGATAAAATGAATATAATTGCCTGTAAGTTAATATCTATAAGTTATAGTGCAAATGCGTAACAGGATAGACACGTTCCTCCGTTTCCAATAAACTGTTTAGCACTAGGCTGAACATAACAAAGGGTAGTACAATACATATACGTAATAGGATAGTACAGTAAAAACCAAAATAAAAATCAAGCGTCAATCACAAACTGCATAGCTTCCCGTATGTACACATTTCCTGTAGACTACGTGGAAAAAATACCTCTCCTCTACCATATCCTGTCGACAAAAGGACATATTAAAATATCCACCAAATACATTGGCAGAAAACGAGAAAAGCCGGTTGGAAATCCTTCAAAATCTGCACACGAAGCACTCTCAAGACAAAAAGAAAATCTTTAAAACGCTGGTCCAGAAATGGTACCTCTTTCATCGCCTTCCCACACACGGAGAGTGTGCGGGTCAGGGGCAGACTTTTCTAGCGAGCACACGTACACGATCACGCTCGCGGTGGCGCTGCGTTCGGCCGGACGCTGTGTGAACTGGACCGTGTGTAGGCGCGCGAGTGGCGGCGTCACGCGTCGCGGACGCGTGCAAAAACAGTTATTACCGCCTCCGTCGCCGCGGCGCCCGGGCCGCGACTTAATTTCCGCTATCTGTTTTAGCCCGTTTGTTCTGCTGATTGTTTGGTCATAAAACACGCCCCGGCGGCTACATAAACCCTCCAGTCGCTCTTCACGCTGTCCACGTTGGCAGCAGTTGGGGTGAAGGTGGAGGTGGTGGAAGGGTTTCTGGTGGTAATGGAAGGTTGTTGGTTTCGGAGGTGTGTGGATGGTGATAGTAGACGTGTGAGATACTCTGCAGTAGAGATAGTTGGGGTTGTAGTCATTCTCGATGGAGTGATCGTTCGTAGTGATTGTGATGATGGGGGTGATGGGGGTGATGGTGATTGTGTGGCTGAACGTGATGGTGATTGTGTGGCTGAAAGTGATGGTGATGGTGTTGACTGTAACGTAGGTGGTATCAGTGGCCGGGATGCTGGTAATAAATGTTCTGATGTCAGTGGAGGATGAGTTGGTAATATGAAAAGTGACTATAGGTAAATAATACAGTCGGGTGATGAAAACTGAATTATAAGATTCATAGTTTTGGCTGTGGATTTTTAAACATACATTCATTTCATTTCTTTGAAGTTCATTTTTCTAAAATTAATCAGTGTGAGTATAAAATGGCTCAGGTTATCGCTGAATTTCTTTTTATTTTTAATTATTGTTTGTAGTCGTGCACGTACTGTCGTAAGTAGAGTTCTTAAATAAAAAAGATTTGGCTCAGACCCTGACAGTAATGAAATGCATTAAACTTAATAACACAATTGAATAATATGTATGGAAATATAATTAAGAAAAACTATTTTTAGAGTATATTAACAATAAAATGTTTAAACAATAGCCAATTGAATGACTTGCCACTCAATGTCTTTCAACAGTTCTAAAGTCGTCTTTGTCATGATGCTCAATTTTTAGGTTGTACAATAATTCATTTGTTATGACGTCCTAGGAATTGTATGCACACCGTAAACCGTTTGTCTATTACGTATTTTTTGTACATTGAAGTAAAAGGCTTCATCACCAATCGTTATCTCTCCCCAAACACAAAGAGAAAGACTAAAACGACTCATTTTTTTCTCATTTATCGCTTTTACTTTAATTGCATGGTCATTCAAAGCGCCTAATCAAACGAAATTCTCATTTTACCGAAGTAAAAGCTCTAGATACACAAATTCCAAACAATAATAGTTGAAAATTTCAGAGCGTGAAGATCATGGAGAGATATTTGCAATCCCATAAACATTCTTTATAGTAAGTCGTTAGGGCGTTCGCTACACACCAACGATCGAGCTGCCGAAAGGATAAACGAAGCGAAACTTTTTTTGCAGTGCACGCTATCGTTGAAAAGCCGTTTATTGAGGTTGACTGTCGCCGTCCGCCCCTCCCCGATTACACAAAAAATATCTCTTGAAGAGCAGTGTGCAGTGCAAAGATATGTAAAGTTCAGAAGCCCGTGACTTGCAAATATGAGGTGATCAGACGGTAACACAATAAATGGAGACGGTTATAGAATTTATTAAAATCGATTTATCTTGGTTATTAAATGCAGCTGTCTAAATATTTTTAAACAAATATTCAAAAATAAAGTAATGGTTTTTAAAATAATGAGTATGAATTGCTGAAAGTTCATAAATAATAAAACAATAATAATAGTTAGCATTACTTTGTATCGTCATATCCCTATTTCGAACAGGGTGTAAGCCTGAGCAATATTTTTAAAATAATTTGACTAATACTAATAATTATGTTGCTTTCAAATGTTGACAATGTGCATAACAAAAATATTTTCTTCCATAGCATTCATTAGATGAGTTCACAAGAATGTTGTTGCGTTCCAAAAAATTTAATTACATTTGATACTTAATTGAGTACTCCGGAGATTCCTGAAAAAAAATAAATTTCGCACTTTGTTAAGCTTTATTTGAAAATAGAAAAGCGAATCCAACTTTTTTTTGATCGTGAAAACTACAATAGAGTTAAAGTACATTTTAAAAATGTAATCTACAAAATACTAATTTTGTGGTTTGTGTCATAAGAAACAACGTTTAATGGCCTACAAAGTATTGTTTTCGAGTTATGCATTATGGTAATGTGTGTTTAGCGTAACGTTTTATGGGTTAAATGTGCGCCTGCTATTTTCCTTATATCATAATCTGCAAACGTATAAAGTTTATGTCTTAAATCACTTTGATAAAGGAAAGACGAGTAATTCCCTATACAGCAGTAGCACACACAATGGGATTTGTGTCGACGGTGTCGTGCAAGTGGTAGAAAACCATCACCTCTCCTTACCGTCTCTTACGTAGAAGAGATAGTACACGTTAAGGGGATAATGTATCAAGAATCTCGCTTATGAATTGCTGAACGTTTATACATCATATTTCCAAACACTACCTAAAACGTAGTGTGCTTTGAGCTAGTAAAAATCCACAAAATGCGTACAACAGTTCTAGTTTGTTTTTGTACCAATGAGAGCTGCTTCAGCGTATAAAGAAATATTATTCTTAGAAGAAACTAGTGTGACAATTCGGAAAACAAATGAAACTCATGATGGTCGATAGTATTGCAAGAAATAGGATTGAAGACATTTGCAAGTGAGCCAAGTGTAAACGACCACGTTTGCAAATGGAGTGGATGGACAAAAACTGGAGTAGTTGTTAGCAGTAGCTGTTGCTAGCAATAGAATGTTGCTAGCAGTAGCTGTCAAATCGATCCATTATTAGAGAAATATCTCTTCGTATTTGAAGCATTCGTGCAGCTGTGTGTCGACATGAGAGCACTGTGCGCTGCTGTAGACGCAGGTGCGAACACAGTGTCCACAGGGACTCGCCGCAGGCGTATCACTCAAATGGAGTTCGGTCGCCGTTGCTCCAGACCCTGTCGCCGGTTTTATATACATACACATATATATTTTCTCGCTCGTTTTAATGCCACAAATGGAACTCGAACCTAGCCATTATGTTTGTTTTATATTTGCGCTTTTCCCTGCTCATCTTTTTTTCTTCTTTCGTTTCGTTTTGCCTGCGATTCCTCGCGTGCACGTTCACCTACAGAGTGAGATATATGTACGGGGGCGTTTGGTAGTACCTCCCCGTCCAACCCTGTCCCCGCCCCGCTCCGCCCCGCTCCGCCCCGCTCCGCCCCGCTCCGCCCCGCTCCGCCCCGCTCTGCCTCGCTCCGCCCCGCTCCGCCCCGCCCAGCGTGTAGGCCATTACCGAGCGCTCCCGACGCAAACGCGAAACAATTGCCGCGCGATTCGCGGATGAAACATCTCCGCTGCCGCCGCCCGGAGTTTACATAAGCGAGTTCAAATTATTCCATGAAATTGGATACTTAAGAACTTTCCGCCCCGTCCTGGTCTGCTTGCTCAACGCGGCACGGCGTTGCCGCCGTGGGATAGTTCTAAGCGATGGCAGTTTTAAAGTTCAGAGCCCATTCGAAGAATAAATTAGGAGTGTTTGTTTTAATTTAAATATAAATTGGGAATCTAATTCTCTTTGAACGGCGAGAGCACTCCTGCGTGGAGGTTGCCCTATTGTGTTTGTTCCCTACGAGTAGTTACGTCGTTTTTTCCCCCCTTGTGCCTCTCCTATGTATTCCGCGCGGCCGCTTGAAATTGCCCAGCCGGAGTGTCTCGCTTAAATGCACAATTATTGGCGCACGGGTTGAAGTATAGTCGTTTTGATGATAGAAAATTTCGCAGTTTAGTTTTGCGATTGAGTATTTATGTTCTGCGCGTGGTTATATCATCAATGTGTCTCTCATAGAAATATTCACGCTGAATTTTCGTACAGAATTGCAAGAAAAAATGTCGAATCTGATTGGAATAAATTTTTAAGCACTGGCAATTGTTTATCATTTCACTATTATTTTCTCTCCCTTGTAGCCTTGGGATTCTTGTGGGATTAGAAAGTAAATTTAAAACAGAAAAACTTTATTATACGAATGATCTAGTATCATATCTAGTCTAAATCTAGTCTGATTGTTCAGTATTAGTTATCAAAATATTTTCTGATTGCATATATAAAATATCTTCAAGATATGGCTTTGCTTAATACAATTATTATTATTATTATTATTATTATTATTATTATTATTATTATTACTATTATTACTATTATTATTATTATTATTATTATTATTATTATTATTATGGTAATGTTGCAGTCATAATTATTACTTCAGTATTAGTCAACGTAAGTTAGTACTTTAATTGATATATTACAAATGATGGTATGAAGAACTTAAGTTATATAATGCCTATGTAGCTTAATATTGCGATATTTTTTACGTATAGGTATCTACAATGAAATATATCGTTTATAAAGCTGCTATGAAAAAATATCTTATTAATAGGAAGTGTAACATATGCTAGTGTTATACCCAATATCCTCTATATCATGATACCTTTCGCCTTGGGAACCAAAGCCGTGCAGCAATTAGTCCCAGGCACACTGGCAGTTACAGTAATTGCCCTCTAGGGTGTTATTACCCGATTATTCTGCATGTTTGCATAGATGGTAATCCTGTACAGTGAAGATATGTCTTAATATACACACTAGCATGTGGATGGCAAAGAATATCTGTGACATAAAATTTGCCGTTTCGAAGAGAACGAGTAGTAATGGTACACTTGATATGATCGACGTATCCTTGCACGCATTGCGATGCTTACACATAAAGCTGTAATTCGTAGTTTCTGGGCTTCCGTGCTTAGTTCCCACTAAAGCAAGACAATCTTATCGAGTTAAACCTGGATCGCTGCGTTGCTCTTGAATAGCGTGTCACGTGCTGGTAGTGCTCGTTTGCGTAAGTTGTGCTTGATGCAAAACATTTTGAAACGTTGGCTGCGGTTCATCACTGTCACCAGCTTTATCTGAATTACCTGGTTAGCGAGTAACATACGAACGAGTTATTTTACTCCAGGATAAAATCTTTGGCTTTATGATAGGAATAAAATGTATTGTATACACTGGAAACTAAATTAAAGATACTACATTCGTTGCATTTGTATTTTATGTTAAAAACTGAAACCTTGTTTTAATTCAATGATGTGGTAATTAAATTATTTGAAAATTTAATTAGTTATAACAAATTGGTATAGTAGCTTATCACGACGGGTTTGGCGAGTACTTTCATGTTGAAAATTCGCATATGTGCTGTACAAGTTCATATTAAAAAGGAATTATAAAAACTATACCTGAATATGCTATTCTCGGATATAGAGGAAAAAGAAGTCTCGAGAGAATAACTTTTTTAAATTTATATATTTCATTATGTAATTAGATACAGTTGTCGTCAATTTTACAAATTACGTTCAAAGGATTTATGATATGCTAGGAATGCTTCATAGTAATTCATAGCTTTACATCAGTGAAGGTGCCTTGAAACTCATAAGAATACCTTTTAGTTGGATTCTTTTAAAAATATTATTGGAATTTCGAGCTAAAACTAATGCCAGACAG